TATTTTCCTACTGGTCCTTGGCTCTTTTCTGAAGCTCCATATAGTTCAGCATAACTTTGTTCAACCTAAGGGTTTCTGCCATCTATTTTACTAGTTCCAAAACCTTCTGACAGGCTTCTTCTCCAATCCCCAAAGAAATTTTACACTTAAAACCAAATCTGACAGAAAATGCCTGAGATACACTAAACACATGTTAAAAACTGGGGCTGGGGTAAGGACAAGCCCACAGCAGCTAACTCCAGCAGTCATAAATGCTATTATCATAAGAACAGCACGGAAAATCTCAAAACCCCACAGCAGGGATCATCACAGACCACACAGGAAACACTAGGCTTGTCCAGTGAAAAGGTAGAGGATATAGGACAAAAACCTACACAAAAACTACGCTTGTTTAGTTACGCTTTTCCTGTAATGATTTATTGAAATACAACAGCTACAAGTCATCCCATATTGCTTGTGGCCTATTATTGTTTCACTGACTTTTAGAACGGTTTGGGTTGGAAAAGACCTTAAGATCATCTAGTTCCAACCCCTGCCATGGGCAGGGACACCGCACACTAGACCATGCTGCCCAAGGCTCTATCCAACCTGGCCTTGAACACTGCCAGGGATGGAGCATTTACCATTTATTTGGACAACCTGTTCCAGTGCCTCACCACCCTGGTGGTTTCTCCCAAGCCAGTTTAAGTCTCACAAATTCAGAATTACTTTTTTTCAAAAGAAGATTTCTCCCGTTAGTTTTTGCTGTAGCTTAAACTTCTCACTTGGAGATCCAGAAGTTAGCCTATTGTTTCTGTGTATCTCAACCATTCATACAAATCATGCATTATACAGCACCATGTACCCTTTTACTCCATTCCTTATCGGCACTGCATTGAGCTAGAACATAATGAAGTACCATAACAGCAGATCAAGGTAAACAATACGAACAGAAGAACTGAGGACACAATTCAGGCTTCATGATAATGTATTTATGCAAAATATCATGACCAGTAGACAAAACTGTAACTTCTGAATTTAAAATTTTGTTGTTTGCCAAGCAGCATCAGCAAGCCTTCATAAAGCACTTATCCAGAAAAGGATGTTGGAAAATTTCACCTGGCTATACAGCAGGTGAAAACTGGCAAGGCAGCAGGGGTCAACGGAATCCCACCTGAAATCTGGAAGCACAGAGGCCAAGCACATCATGCTAAAATACACAAGCTAGTTGTGCGCTGTTGGGAAGAAGGTAAATTACCATCAGATTTTCATGATGCAATCATCATCACTCTGTGTAAGAAAAAAGGCATAAAGTCAGACTGCTCAAGCTACTGAGGTATAATTCGGCTCTCCATTGCTAGAAAAAACCTTGCAAGAATACTGTTGAACAGTTAAGTACCCGCTATCACAGAAGAACTTCTACCTGAAAGTCAGTGTGGTTTCAGAGCTAACAGAAGTACCACAGGCATGGTATTTCTTCTCAGACAACTGCAAGAGAAGTGCAGAGAACAGAATAAGGGGCTCTATGCAACTTTTGTTGACCTCACCAAAGCTTTCGACACTGTGAGCAGGAAAGGCCTGTGGCTGATCCTGTAAAGATAAGGTTATGCCCACAAGTTTCTCAAAATGATTATTCCGTTACATGAGGATCAGCAAGGCCAAGTCAGGTATGGTGATGCACTCTCTGAGCCCTTCCCAATAATCAAAGGTGTGAAACAAGGTTGTGTTCTCACACCAACTTTGTTCACAATCTTCTTCTGTATGATGGCCCAAAGGGCTACAGTAGACCTCAACAAGCAAAACAGCATTTATATTCGATATCGTACCGATGGGAGCCTATTCAATCTAAGGTGAGTGAAGGCCCACACTAAAACCCTAAATCATCTTGTCCGTGAATTGCTTTTTGCTGACAATGCCACCCTTGCTGCCCACACAGAAACAGCTCTGCAGCACTTAACATCTTGCTCTGTGGAGGCAGCTGAGCTTTTTGTGCTGAAAGTCAGCTTGAAGAAGACAGTAGTTCTCTACCGACCTGCACCACAAGAAGATTATCATCATCCCCACATTACCACTGGCGAGTCAGAGCTTAAGTCAGTTCAGCAGTTCAACTACCTGTTAGGGTGGTGAGGCACTGGAATAGGTTTCCCAGGGAGATTGTGAATGCTGCATCCCTGGCAGTGTTCAAGGCCAGGTTGGACAGAGCCTTGGGTGATATGGTTTAGTGCGAGGTGTCCCTGCCCATGGCAGGGGGGTTGGAACTTGATGATCTTAAGGTCCTTTCCAACCCGAACTATTCTATGATTCTATAATGACATTGTCTCCTTTGAGAACACACGGAGAACTACTCTCAAGAAGAAAAGACAACGTAGAAAGAATTGCACCCCGCACATACCACCCTGAGCAACCCTTCACTGTGTTTTTTGCAATGGGATTTGACTATCCCACGTTGGCCTTTTTAGTTATGATCAGGCTTGTAGTAAGCGGGGGTAAAGCCCTTCCCAAATCTTCATCGCTTGCAAAGTCAAGCCATGATGATGATGACAGTCCCAAAAGAAGAGTCTCTCCCGAGCATTCTTGGAGGCCCCCTTCAGATACTGGAAGGCTGCTATTTGGTCTCCACGCAGCCTTCTCTTCTCCAGGATGAACAGCCCCAACTTTCTCAGCCTGTCAGCACACAGGACATGCTTCAGTCCCCTGATCGTCCTCGTGGCCTTTCTCTGGACTTGTTCCAACAGATCCATGTCCTTTTCATGTTGAGGACACCAGAACTGCACACAACAATCCAAATAAGGTCTCACAAGAGCAACGGAGAGGGGCAGGATCACCTCCTTCAACCTGCTGGTCATACTCATTTTGATGCAGCCCAGAATATGGTTGGCTTTCTGTTCTGCAAGCGCACACTGTTAGCTCATGTTGAGTTTCTTACCAACCAACACCCCTAAGTCCTCTTCAGGGCTGCTCTGAATGTCTTCCCTGCCCAACCTGTAGCTGTGCCTGGGATTGTTCTGACCCAGGTGTAGGACCTTGAACTTGTCATGGTTAAACTTCATCAGGTTGGCATCAGCCCACCTCACAAGCTTATCAAGGTCCCTCTGAATGGCATTCCTTCCCTCCAGTGTATCAACCGAACCACACAGCTTGGTATCATCAGCAAATGTGCTGAGGGTGCACTCAATCCCACAGTCCAGGTCACCAACAAAGAGGTTCAACAAGACCGCTAACAACACCCATCCCTAAGGGACACCACCTGCTACTGATCTCCAGCTGGACACTGAGCCACTGACCACAACAGGCCATCCAGCCAGTTCTTTATCCACCGAGTGATCCACCTATCAAACTGATGTCTCTCCAATTTAGAGACAAGGATGTCATGTGGGACAGTGTCGAATGCTTTACACAAATCCAGGTAGATGACATCAACTGCTCTGCCCCACCCATCTGTTCCGTAACCCCACCATATAAGGCCACCAAATGGGTCAGGCAGGGTTTCCCCTTAGTGAAGCCATGCTGGCTGTCACCAAGCACCTTGTTGTTTTTCATGTGCCTTAACATGCCTTCCTGGGGAATCTGCTCCAAAGTTTTGCCAAGCACAGAGATGAGACTGACTGGTCTGTAGTTCCCTGGGTCATCCATTTTCCCCGTCTTGATAATGGGGGTTATATTTCCCTTTTTCCAGTTGTTGGGAAACACGTTGACTCAAAACAGCAACATTAAAAAAAAAAAAAGAAAAAAAAACCCAGGCAAGTTTCAAAACCTGCCTAAAACATCTGACCCCCAGAGAAAAGATGAACCAGCCTTAAGTCAAAATGAAAAATGGAGATAGAATGAGACACTGTCCATGGACCAGTGCCTCATTCTAAGTAACATCATGAAATTGGTACAAAAACTACCTTCAAGGCCAATTAACTTGACACTGACAAACAGCACTCCAAGCTCTTGACATCTATGCAGACAGCTGCAGAACTTGATGTCAAATAAACAGATTTACGTTATTTTAAAAAGCACATTGACAAGTAAGCAGTCATGGCTTAAGCCCAGCCAGTGACTCAGACCCACACAGCTGCTCACTTGCTCCCTCACTCACCCTCCCACTTCTTCCCCCCCCACACACCCTAAGGGATGGGGAAGAGAGTCAAAAGAATGTAAACCCCACAGGTTGAGATAACAACAGTCCAGTAACTAAGGTATAATACAAAACTACTACTACTACCACTAATAATAATAATAATGATAAGGTGTGGAGACAGTGTTCTCAAAGGAGAACGGATAATTGGTACATAAATCCTGAAAGATACAGCAAGGCCATGAGAGGCCCCAGGAAGCCCAAACAAGCAGGATAAGAAGAAGCTGGAATTAACGAAGTTAAAGAGAACTGTGGACTGTTGGCAAGGTTTCAAGGTCAAGTTCTCACACCTGTGCTTAACCAATTAAATGTTAGTCACTAAGGGTCTTCAAGACATATATCCAATCATAATATGCCAAATCACTGTAAGTGCATGTAAGAAATAGTATGTAAGGGGTTAAGGCTTAGCAATAAACAGCTTTTGTCTGATCATATTTATATCTGACTGGGTCCATATATTTTCTGCGGCAGTGAGGGAAATAAGGGGAGAGAATATAAAACTAAAAAGGGAAGGGGAAACAAAGTAATGAACATAAGTGATGCACAATGCAATTAACACCTGCTGGGTGATACCCAGCCTGACCCAAGCAGTTATCTGCCATTCCAGGTTACTCCCCCCAGTTTATATACTGGACATGACATTCTGTGGTGTGGAATACCCCTTTGGCTAGTTTGGGTCAGGTGCCCTGTCTCTGCTTCCTCCCAGCTTCTTGTGCCACTCAGCACTGGCAGAGCATGAGAGACTGAAGAGTCCTTGATCAGGATAAGCATTACTTAGCGAAAACTAAAACGCGGGTGTGTTATCAGCATTGTTCTCAGACTAAAGCTGAAACACAGCACAGCAGCAGCTATTAAGGAGGAGAAAAATAACTGTTACAGCTGAACCCAGGACACTTACCATCGTACTTTATTGCTTGTCTGCGTAGCACCAAGAGGCACACCTCCCACCATGGGGACTTGGATGGGGCTGTGCTGTTTGTTCATAACAAGATCAAACTTCTCTTCCAATGATTTACAAGCAGCCTCCAATGCCAGCAACTTTGCCTCAATGCTATTCAACCGCAGGCATATTCCCTGATTAATGGAATACAGGAACGACTAGAAAGTGAGAATGAAAGAAACACTGATTTTAAAGACTTCTGCGTATGCTGCTTAAGATAAATGCATAAGGAAACTCCAGATAAACGTGACTGGAAAACAACTGTCAGGCAACTAGCAGCATGCCTACTGACAACATTCATCCACATACAAAACTGATGACATCCAGGAGCATTTTACCGTTCTCAGGTTCTCCTAGATCTTGACTTGGAAACCAAATTCATCCAAGCCAAACATATTTTCACCTAAGCACTTTGCTGGTAAGATTTTGTACACATGTGAAAGCCTTTCATTCCACAGAAGTAAAACCAAAAGGATTCTACATCTATGAATATATCCTTCTGAATAAAATATTTTTTCCTACCCTAAACAGATAAATTCAGATGATTACAGTGGAAATTATATCAACATGAATAACCTCAGAGACAGTTAATGCCACTCAAGTTTTCTCCTGAACAGCAAACCAAGAAAAGCAAATAAAATCTGTTTTCCTAAGTAATATTATTCAAAAAAGCCTATTCTACTTGGTTCCTCTTGGGAAAAATAGGCTATTAAATGGTCATGTTAAACATTCTCCTTTGTGAACAGTGACTATGCCATCTCGTGGCCCTCTGTTACAACTTATACACCTCATCACACCAGTTTTCAGTGCTGCTCTGCTCCTTAGTGCTCTTTCAACACAGAACTTCAGTTTCTATGATGACCATTTTAAAACTACAGAACTACATACTGTTTAACATGTGTGGCAGTAAAACACTACTCTCATGCTCCAAAGAACAACAGTGAAAACCCCACAAAACTAAAACACACTAGAGAAAAGCAGAGGAAGTTCTACAAGCAGAGAAAAGCCTGAGCTACTGAGCCTGAACCAAATCCAGCTTAGCTATTAAGAGGACGCTGGTAGCTCAAAATAATAATTTTAAGCATGCAAAAAGTATATACAAATTGTAATACAAATACATGCTCAAGTTTACTTTATAGGTAAACTTTATTCACTTCATAAAAACAAAAGTACCAATAGTGACATTTGAGTAACTGTAATTAAATCTGATGACATTTTATACTTCATGTAAAATTCTTGCTACAGATTTTTACACTGGAGAACTAGGCCATAATCCAGATCTTTATGCAAAAAATGAACTGACATATACAAGAAGGCTATGAATAATTCCAGTCTTACGTAATACCATAATAAACAGTTAATCTTACATTCTTTTAACGTATTTCCCTAAGCAAGCTAACTTAATTCTATTATAAATAGAAACAGGAAAAGGCATTATCATAACCTTAATAGAGGGATCCTGGCAGTTAATTTCTATATGCTGATGTTTCAGAGCAGGCTCTATATCATCTGTCACTTCAGGATTCTCCAACACAACTGCAAAGACAAAAGCACTGACATATCTTATAGTAAAAGAGGACAAGGCTTAAATTAAAAACATTTGAAATGAATTAAATAAAAAGTAAAAGGTGCTTAACGTATTGTATGTATTCTTTTATGCTTACTTGGGTTTACTCTTAAATATATGACAATGGTTTACTGCTTCTCAAAAAACATTTATCCAAATTAATACTTCGTTTCAAACACAATAAGGATACATCATTCAAGCATTAGACTGGATTTTTTTTTTAATTGTTTCTTTTTAAGAACTTACCAGGAGGAAGCTAAGTTGCCACATTGGCTCTTCTGCTTTGACAGATTTTACAGGCTTCTTACCCCTACATTTACACAAAACCATAAAAAGTACTAATGAAGCTCTGTACAAAGGCAGAATAATAGAATCATAGAATACTTAGAATACTTCAGATACTGGAAGGCTGCTATGAGGTCTCCACGCAGCCTTCTCTTCTCCAGGCTGAACAGCCCCAACTTTCTCAGACTGTCTTCATACAGGAGGTGCTCAAGTACCCTGATCATCCTCATGGGCCTTCTCTGGACTTGTTCCAACAGTTCCATGTGCTTTTTATGTTGACGACACCAGAACTGCACACAACACTCCAAGTGAGGTCTCACAAAAGCAGAGTAGAGGGGCAGGATCACCTCCTTTGACCTGCTGGTCACACTCCTTTTTGATGCAGCCCAGGATATGGTTGGCTTTCTGGGCTGCAAGCGCACACTGCCAGCTCATGTTCATTTTCTCATCGACCAGCACCCCAAGTCCTTCTCCACAGGGCTGCTCTGAATCTCTTCTTTGCCCAACATGTAGCTGTGCCTGGGATTGCTCTGACCCAGGTGTAGGACCTTGCATTTGGCATGGTTAAACTTCATGAATTGGGCATTATCTCACCTTACAAGTGTGTCAAGGTCCCTCTGGATGGCATTCCTTCCCTCCAGCAGATCAACCAAATCCCCCCAGCTTGGCGTCATCGGCAAACTTGCTGAGGGTGCACTCAGACCCACCGTCCATGTCAGTGACGAAGATGTTAAACAAGACCAGTCCCAACACTGATCCCTGAGGGACACCACTCGTTACTGGTCCCCAACCAGACATTGAGCCATTGACCACAACCCTTTGCATGTGGCCATCCAGCCAGTTATTTATCCACCAAGTGGTCCATCCATCAAATTGATGTCTCTCCAATTTAGAGACAAGGATGTCATGTGGGACAGTGTCAAATGCTTTGCACAAGTCCATGTAGATGACATCAACTGCTCTGCCCCTGTCCATAAGTTCTGTAGCCCCATCATAGAAGGTCACCAAATTGGTCAGGCAGGATTTCCCCTCAGTGAAGCCATGCTGGCTGTCACCAAGCACCTTGTTGTTTTTCATGTGCCTTAACATGCCTTCCTGGGGAATCTGCTCCAAAGTTTTGCCAAGCACAGAGATGAGACTGACTGGTCTGCAGTTCCCCGGGTCATCCATTTTCCCCGTCTTGATAATGGGGGTTATATTTCCCTTTTTCCAGTCATCGTGAACTTCACCTGACTGCCACGATTTTTCAAATATGATGGCCAGCGGCTTAGGAACTTCCTTTGCCAGCTCCTTCAGGACCCACAGATGGATTTCATCAGGTCCCATGGACTTGTGCACGTTCAAGTTTTTAAGATGGTCTCAAACCAGATCTTCTCCTATAGTGGTCCCAAGGTCTTCATTCTCACAGTCCCTGCATCTACCCAGAATTACACCCACTACTCAGGCCAGTATCAGTCGTCCGTCCCGTCCCCCCGTGTCTCACCCCAGTATAAACAAAATCCTGCCAGCTTTCCAAAATAATTACTTACATATACAGACCCATAGTGTCTAATAGCCTTTTGTCTAACAGCAAACATTTTGAAGAAAATAGTAATAAAAGAGAAATGAATTTAGAACTGGAAGGCCTGGCTGGCTAGCAAAAAATAAAACAAAAAAAAACCAACAAACAAACAAAAAAAAACCGTAAAGCCCTGAAAAGCCTCAGTCAGCATTACCCAAGATTAGAACAGGTTTGAGTTCCTTTACCAAGCTGAGCAAAGGAAGTCTTGTTTGAAGTTGACCAGACCACAGCAGACACTCCTGAACACCAAGTTACCATCTAGATAGACTACAACAGGGAGGTCCCAGCTTCTCCTCCAACACTTGGGAACATTTCTGAAGTAACTTTTTAGTTTTGTATCAGAAGTTCTTTTGATATGATCAGTGTGTCTGGCTTATCCCGTTTTGGCTTAGTAGGTCAAGTTCTAAGCAAGGGATATCACAATATTTGCTTCCAGGAGTACTTTTCAATTTCAGTAACATATCAGAGAAACTATTTCACAGATAAAACAACAATTCATAATAGATGGATGATAGTCATCATTTGAGGGAAAGCCTAAAACATACATTTGGTCTGGAAAAAAAACAAAACTTTGAATGAAATATGGCCTCCTGCAAAGATTTTGGCACTAGTCTGCCCCTGCACAGCAAAGCCCCAGGCAAAAAGGCCTTTTAAAGAAACTAATTTTTTTTTTTTAAACTTATCTAAAGGGTACTGAAGATATACAAGCTATTGAAAGCCTGGTGTGTAGTGTTAAGAAATACCTCTCATAAAAGAATCTGCAGCACTGCTTTATATTAAGAAAAGCTCAACAGCAATTTCCACCTTGTCAATGAGCAATACTATAAACATATCTTTCTTGTGCCATCACTATCACCTCTACTGTACCTGGGTTATCTGGAGTCAGGTCTTCAACAGCAATCTGAACAACATCTGCCAAATCCTGTTCTGACATCATTCAGAACTAGGCAGCAATATCCAGTCAAACACCACTGCAGGCCCCCAAACAAGTAATTTTGCAAGTCATACAATCCTGAAAAACAGCAGCAAGAAGAGTGTTAATACAGATTACTTGATATATTAATACTGCCTTTATTTTTTCATTCTTCCTCTATAAAAGGAAATGCAGTTCCCAACACAAGTGACCAACCTACAAGTGATCATCCTGTGGTATCAACTGCTACTTCATTTGGTATCCTCATCAAAGAGCAAAGGACTCAACTACATGCATTGCCCAAGTCAATCTTTCTACATGAGGCCCAAGACAAGAGCTCAAGCTTTCCTTGCTGATCCACCTTTCCACATTTTCCCAAGAGATAAAGAGAACATTTAGCAGCTCATCAGGATAAAAATCAAAGAAAACATTTTATTTTTAAGTTGATTTTTGTTTTAGAAGTTTTAAGACCATACAAGACCGTTCCTAAACTGCAGGGGTTTTATTTACAAATTATTGCTTAGCTCTTGGAAGGGATCGGACTTTAGTATTTAGTCGTAATGTCACAAAAGCATATGAAGCTCCCAAGCCTAGCCTAGGTTTGCAATTACTGCACTCTCTACAAACCTACGTGTACACAAAATCCTAGAACAGTTAGGGTTGCAAGGGACCTTAAGATCCTCTAGTTCCAACCCTCCCTGCCACAGGCAGGGATGCCTCACACTATACCATGTCACCCAAGGCTCTGTCCAACCTGGCCTTGAACAATGACAAGGATGGAGCATTTACTACTTCTTTGGGAATATTAACAGGCCTCTCAAATCTTCAGAAACAATCAGTGAGAACAGGGAGCTTCCTCGCAGCCAATTACAACTAGACTTGAAGTAAAATTTGACTTTTCTTTCCCTTGGTTATTGAACTTACCTGCATTTGCTACACCAATGCTGATGAAACCATTTCCAGAATATGGTCCTGATTTTAAAGCCAAAATATTTCTCAGCCCTGCTCCCTTGGAATTCTCAGTCAAGGTTATTTATTAGTGTTTTAAGAGAAACTGTCAGTCTGTAAAACTGAATTTGAAACACTGAAACCATTCAGATCTGCACTTTCTCGCAGTTTACAAAGGGATGGACAATGAATACCAAGAGATCAGCCAATTTTTTTCCTTTTTAACTTGAAGCAAAACACTGGAGAGAATTTAAGAGTTACCAATGGAAATGGTAATTCATCCCTTAACACTGACACTGAAACTGAATCAAATCCAATTATGCATAAAGATAGTCCTCTTCCACTTGAGCACAAGAAAGCCATTAAGCCAAACAGGTGGAGTACTAATATTTGAAAAGACCAACACAATCTACAGAAGAACTTTGCGACTGGCCGGAGCAATCACTGCATGCTGTGAAAGCCCATCTTTGAGATGGGCTTTGAGTCTTGAGGAAGACTCCCCACATATCCCAATTGTTTACTCAAAATACTAGCACTACCAATACAGTGTAATTTGAAATTCTGATCATGGTAAAAAAAAAAAAAACAAAAAACAAACTATTGGTACAGCACAGACTGTGGCTTCATGCCCCCAAAAACTGGCAATACATTAGTGAACATGAATGCCATTTTGGTAAACTGTATTTGCCATTTCTGTGAAATCCTGGTAACCAGCCAAGCTTAACAGAGAGACTGAAGCTGCAGTCTATCAGGATATGAGATTGAAAATCACTTTCAGGAGGAAAATGGGGGCGGGGGGGGGTAAGGGAAATCAGAACTTTAGCTTCTTCATTACTACTAAATCTACAAAGGAAGATATTCTAACCTTTCTTAGCATCTGTTTAGCTTTCATCCTTATTCTCAGTCCACCTTAAAAGGAAAGTAAAGACATTGTCTTCTAAGTAAATTTCATAGTAAAACTACACAAGCATTTTAAGTTTAAATTTTTTAAAAAATACTAATATACAGACATCTTTGGTTCAGCCAAAGATCAGAGGGAAAAAAAATAATTTACCCTCCCAAACCCCCACAGAAGCATTCCTTAACTTTGAAAGCACGGACAGGAGCCATAGCATTCTGGAGACATATAAAATAAAAACCACTCAGAGATGCTATGCTAATGGGCTCCAGTACAAGTTCTTAAAATACAGATAGCAACAGAAAAAGAAAGGTAACAGCTGCTCCAAAAATAAAAGAACTTGAAATTTCTTTGAAGTACAAAATCTTACAGGGAGGCAGAAATTCTCAAAGATTGCTACAAAAGTTCAAATTATCATCATTTTATTATTTTGCTCCTAGAAGTATTCTACCCCACCTGACAGAAGCCCCTGTTTTGCTTGGATGTCTTTTCCTAACTCTTGTAATACACTACTGAGATGGGAAAAGAACAAGCAAGACAGAATGAAGGATAGCTCATTGTAAACAGAACAAACATTTTGCTTGTAACTAAGCAACCAGGACTCCAGGTGGACTCCGTAACAATAAGGAAGAGAACTCTTCAGTTAATGTTTAGGGAAACCAGTTAGAACCAACTAAGGAGTTGGCAAATGGACAACAAGGCTGGCCAACTCCAAAGTTCAGCCAAAGGATGAAGTGATGAAGAAGAAAATGATGAAGAAACGACCACCAGGGGTCCCAATGACCACTACCACATTATTGTACGCATGCAGGAAGAATTTTCTAGAAAGATGATGCAATGCATAAGTAACTTAATGAATATGCATGTAATGTAATTAATATGTACATTTAATGATTATATAATCACAGCTTGCTTGGTGCTACATTTTCAGGTTCAAAAAAAGTCCGAGTTTTACAGACACATGAGACTACCCACACAGCCAGAGTGGCCACAAACAGAAAAACAAAACTCACACACAAACAAACAAAAAAAAAAAACACAACCACACCCCACCAAAAAAAAAAGTTGCACTTATCTGCCTGAATAAAGGGGATTATTTTAAAAGAGTTGGCATTATTACTTTTGCAGGGGAAATGGAGAGAAAACAACAAAATTTTAAACGTCTCAAGTCACTTCTCAGTAAAAGCTCTGTAAGAGCTGAGGTGGGGGGAAGAAGAGGGGAAGTTTCTTTAGAAAGCCAATACTCCAAAACGCACTGGTAGCTGAAGTACCACCAGGTACAATATCTCTGTGGCACTAACTCTGAACAGGTATCATCCAAAATTCTTGCACTGCACCATAATTTTCATGAGCAGCAGGAGAACGTTACACTGCAAATAAGCTTCACCACTTCTACTCAAAAGATCCAGAGTCAAAAAGCTGTCTGAGAAAAGCTGTGAAGTCTTCACCCCATCCGAGGAATCATACACTCTGAGGAAGGATACAAGCAGTACTAACACATTACAAATATCAGAATGTTGCTGTCTCCAGCTGAGCCTCCTTTGCAGCAGAGGGATCCGCATTGTGCTCAAGAAACATAAGTTGCTTCACAAAGGATCAAGGAAGCACGTTTTCCCCCAGGAAGGATGCATAAACTGGAACAAGTTTATCACGAGATCTTTGACCCTAAACTTGCACATGAGAGATGACTCTGGAGAATATAACTTCTATAAAATTTGAGTTTCATTATTTTTAGCAGGGGTGAAAAAGTATACTGATATTGAAACTTAATAGTATAGACTGAAATAATACTCAAATTTTAACTAATTCCCCACACAAAGCAGATGCCCAAAAGCTGCAATTTTCTTTAAGAGGCTACATGAAACATTTATAGCTGCTTTCTAGCTAACAATACTGCGGGATGGTCAGAAAGTCAAGACTGGTTCAGTACTACTGGTTCAACTCAAAAGGATTTTAAGGAATATATACATAAGAATAACAGATCTATATACCAGCTCTTTATTCCATACTTGAATCCCCTTTGGAAAGTGGGAAATGAAAAGCCTAACAAAAGTGTTTCAACTAAAAATAATAGTTCTAAAAATCCATCACTTTAAATGGCCATACCATTTCAGCGGTCTTTATCTCAATGCAATTATTTACTAAATGTTTACCAAATAAAAAATTTTAGAAGAAATTTTTCAGGAAGATCCCCTCTTCCAGAAGCAGGGCTGGGCTCTGCCTCAGCATTAAAAAGCACACCAATGCCCCACGGGACATGCTGACTCCACAGGAAGGAAGGCTTATCACCAGTTTTGGCATCAATGACCACAACCCAACAGTTAAATTACCAGAAGAGCCTGTGGTTCTTCAAGCCTTCCAGAGACATTTATTCCAAGTTTATAAACTAGAGATAGAAGAAAGGCTGAGTGAAGAATAAGCTGGCAACCACACAGTACAGAAACCAGAGCTGGATAAGACTTCCATCTAAAGGACCAAACTACTGAATTCCTAAACCACAGCTTGTATTACTAACTCCACCAAACCAAATATCACTTCACAGGCCAAACACTGCAATTTACTGCACACAGAAAATAACTACTTTTAAATATGTTGCTAAAAAGTGTACAATAGTTGGGGGAAGAGGATGTTAAATGAGTTTCTTCTTTGTTTTATTAGAAATTATCTATAATGTGTTCTATTACCCCCCCAATTTCATGCTTTCTTAGGAAAAGCATTAAAATAATAATAAAAAAAATAAGTTATGGTAGATAGAACTATAGACTTTTTAATTCATACAAAAAATATCTACGTATGCACTTTCATAAACATCTGGTTTAGGTTGGAGGCTATTATTTGCTCTAAAGAGTTAGAGGTATCAGTAAATTCAGAGTACATTTCAAACTGAAGTCTCAGCAGCAGGCAGGCATAAGCACGTATATATTTGACCAAACTAAAAACTGGCTCTGACACAGATCACTCCAAATTTAATACCACCCATATTTTTCAATTATAAAGAATCAGAAAGTTATCTACTCAAAGCCAAGTAAAGGATCAATTAGAAACTTTTAGTGCAGAAAACTATTTGTATGTATTTCTGAAAACACACCCCGCAGAAACTACCATTGTTGCCTAGATAAAAATGCCAGCAAAAATACCTATATCCTGCATCTTGCAGCTGGACTTGAGCCATGGGCACCCCCAACATCATGACTACATCACATTAATAACAATCACTACGCTCAGACTCGATGACAGTCCCCAACAGTAAAATTCCAAACACTGCCAAGGAAGACATGTTGCCCCACACTGGACTGCAAGAAAAAAAAACACTGGTGAGGAGCCACTTCCATCAGGCTCAACTGTTCTACATCCAGATCTGCTCCTCCCTGCCCCAAGACACTGTGTGCATGTCAAGTGTTCTACCCCAATATCTCATTGCATTTGTGAAGTGGAGGGCAAACGCTATGCCAGAGTGTTTTCCTTTGACAATTATATTCTTTCACCATGTTAAAACTAGCTCTTCTGCAGAAACAAAAAATAAATGTGGAGTCAGGGCATGGAAATAAGACCTACATCTTAACCCAACCTTCTTCAGCATGCTCTGTAGGACACCCTTGCTTAGTGCACGTTTTCCATTGGTGGAAGGAATTAAGACTCTCTAATACTGTAACCTTCCAGTTAGATTGCCTTGTTGCAGTAAAGAGACTTTGCCTTGGAAAGCTGTTCAGTCTCAAGGCAGCAGCCACCCCAGGACCATGCACTATGACAAACACCTGCCTCAGTTCAAGGGAAATGCCTGCAAAATGCTTTATTCTATTCTGTTCAGTTTACAACAGAGGGGGATAATTTATATTTTTCCTATTATGCATACTGCTGATCTTCTATACACCAGAAAAACTTTCCAATCTAGCAATTTGGGGGGAATGGACACAAAGACAAAACCCAACACTGGCACAGACTTTTACTACCAAGAAGCATGATGCCAAACATAAAACAAACAAACAGTAATCTGCTTACTCAAAAGTCTTGTAACAGATTTACCTCCTGAAGCTATCTAGAAAAAGGAAACATTCAATCTGATGAAACAGACCTTAGCACCATTTCAAAACACAGGGATAACAGTAGTATTTTAAAATTCTTACCAAAAGAACTTGTGAAAATAAACTGAGAAGCATCATTGCAGTAGAAAAGCATAGAGCAAGTAGCTCTTCACATTCTGAAACACTTCCATTAGTATAGTCTGATCGTCTTTGCCATCCCCCCTCCCACCTCCAGGAAAACAACAAAGTAACACTGACTTTAGACTTGCAAGACCACATATTCATGGGATGTTAGAGAGGTATCTTGGTAGTAAGGCATGTTTGTATCTAAGGAGCAGTGAAGAAAGGGGTAATCAACCTTACAGCTACTGTGAAGTCACTCCATGGATAGTAGAGATGCATTCTTTTTTCCATCATAAAATACAGGAAAATTTGAACTTAATGTATTTTTCCCTTAAGTGGTCTAAGGGTTTTACAAACAGGAAGAAAGATAAAACCCATTGAGCAAACATTACAAATTATTTTAAAGTACAAAACACAAAGGATTTTACAAAGTAATCCTTCTGTGCACTGTTGCTAAACGTCATAATGTGAGTCTAAGAACAGTAGGCAAAACCAAGTGCTTAACAGTAGCTTTACAAACCTAAAACTGGAAGGAAACAAGTGTTTGACATGTTAAAGACATTTTATTCCTTTTTTAACTTAAGAAAAAAGAATTATGATTTGCTTTAAATAATACGTTAGAAAAACAAAACGAGTAGAATTATTTCAAAGGTTCACAACTAAATGTCAAGTTTCAAACTAAAGGAAATCAAATCTGAAAAAAATTATTGGCAAAGTTTAGTATATACATAGACATGTTGTAACTAATCACCAGCTTTGCATTGGCTCCTCCTACTAGTAGCTCATGCTTACTTCACATAAAGATGGTGCTCATGCTTCTGTAGATCTCTGGGACAAGAGCTTCTGTGCACAAATACCCATCTCTTCCTTTCAAAACAAACGTGCTGGGAGAGCCATTACTTTCTAAGAAACATCATAGCCATTTCAATTCAAGGCATTCTTCAGTGAAAGATCTGAAGACATTCAAGTTCTGACACAATAAAGACACGTATTCTTCCTGCACAAACGATGCTTTACAAGTTTAGGGAAAAACTCGAGACCAGAGACAGCCTCAAGTCCTTGCAAATGTTAGCATATTACCGTCATCGACGCAGGTCTGAATCCCACAGCACTACTCCTCAAAAAAATCAAGGCAAACCTGTAGCACTTATGGTTATGTGAGGCTATGATTATAAGCTCATCTCTCTTCACCTCATCACTCCAAACCAGTATAGAACAAGTACATTGTACTGTATTAAAAATGGCACAGGCAGGAAACAAGCCTTTTACAAACATGCTCAGCAGAACATATGCTGATAAAGCCTTTCCAACTGTGAACAATAATCATCAGCACTTATTATATTACTACCATATCCTTAATGTTATTATTCAATTACTCAGAATGCTATTTATCAATTTCTCCTTTAAAAGAGCCTTATATTTAAAAACCTGTCCTGTAAACACACAGCAAGGTTAACATGGCTGGATAATTAAGACATTAAAGCCAGTTACTGTTATTGCAAAAAACTATAAATTATAAAGGAAAAAAGATACAAAATATTTTTATACTCTGAAACTCAGCCTTTTCTAACTCTCTTCAATAAACTGCTCTTTGGAACATCATCTCATGTATTACTGAAAACTCAACTACTGCCAAGATATCACTTAATGTATGAAATAAGGCTCACAGTTTCAGAATCAAGTTCTTGTTATTCCTATTAAATTCTATGGACATCCATTTTAAGTACATATTAACACTTTCTGACAGACAAAATTCATTGTTTCAAGAAGCACTGCTACAAAATTATTAAGACAAAGGAATTGTTTGGGTTCTGTTTAAGCTCTTGCTTGGGTATGCAAAATCCTACAAAGGTATGTTTGTTTTCTGAAAGCCTGACATCAACAGAGTACTCCACCTAAGGCAACCTCACACAGAAGCCAAAAAGTAGCGAAAAAAGTTCCAAGCTATTATTTTACAACAGGTTTAAAGCTGTTTCCACTGAAGCAATCACTCAGACGCTAATAACCCTATAAACTTGTTTACTTGGGGGGAGGGAGGGAACCAAAAAAATACAACCCAACCATATTTGGTTAAAAACAAATTTAATAATAAAAAAGCCTAAAACCGAACAAACAAAAAAAACCCACACATACACTTAAATTTAACATCAGGAAAAAAAGGAAGACCGAGGGTGTTGTCAAACACATGACTAATAGGAAGAGACTAGAAAATACCAACCCCTGTACGGATGTGAAAAACCCTCACTGCGACTCAATGTCCACACACGCAAAACAGCACATCAGGAAACTATTTTCACACACACGCTCGCAAGCACGTGAAAAGCAGCAGCTCCTCTCCACTACCTGCCAGCGGCAAAAAAGGCAGCACCAATATCACCCAGCCGCTAACACCCTCCTGCGGTAGGGATGGGGGAGCGAGTACTGCCGTCGATGCCCCTTCCTCAAACCGTGCCTGCAGCGCGGCCCAAAGAAGGGATGAAGGGAAGGAGGGAAAGGTCCGACCTGCCCCGTCCTTCAGAACGGGTAAACATAACCCTCGGGGAGACGGAAGGGGAAGGAGGGCACGATGCTCGGGGACAGAACAGACCCTCCACCTCGAACGCCGCCCCACAGGGGTGCCGAGCGCCCCGGCAGCGATAGAAGACGGAAACCCAGTAAGGAGGTAACCTCCCAGGCCTGGGCACAGAGAAAACAGGCGAGAAGCGAGGCGGCGACAACGAGGAGTCCCCCACGGAGGGACCAGCTCCGGAGTCCCTCGGCGGGGAGAAGCAAGTCCCTGCTCGCCACCCCCCCTCCCCCCCAACCCTTTTCGGGTGAGGGGCAGGAGCCCGCAGCCTCCCCGCCTCTGCTCGGCCCCTCCCCGGAGCCACCGTCTCATGACCCGGGTGCTCGGTCAGTGATGGGAGGAGCGGAACTACACGCCCGGCAACAGACACCCCCTCACCCTAATCCCCCGAGAGCTCATCCCCAGCCATGCGGCCGCTGAGCATTGCAGTTACCGTGTACAGTACCAAATTCTCGTGATGTTTGTTGAGCAGCTACGATAATGGTGTGCTTCCTCGCGAGATATCCCCCTCAGCGCACACGCGTCACCACGCTGCACTCAAAGCTCCACCCGCCCCGAGAGCCCAAGCAGGCGCACGGGGAGGACTCAACTGGCCACGCGGCCGCCTTTCACCGAGGCGCCGCCGGAGGAAGACTACAATTCCCAGAGGGCAACGCAGCGGCAACGGCGGTACTGTCCCCGCCAAGTAGGCTGGGATCTGTAGTACACGCGGCAGGAGCAAGGAATGCCGGGAGTGGTAGTCCGCACCACACACGCCTTGCACCCCCGCATCCACACAACGCCTCGAGGCACCGCACATCCAGCGCCTGCCGCAACCTCTAGGGCTCCACAAAACCCTCCTGGCTCAGCAGCAGGGTCCTGAGTGTGCCCCGGGATGGTGATCATAGAATCAACTAGGTTGGAAAAGACCTTCAAGATCAAGTCCAACTGTTCCCCCAGCACTGCCAAGACCACCACTAAACCATGTCACTAAGGGCTCGTCTACATGTTTTTTCAACGCTTCCAGGAAGAGTGATTCCGCCGCTGCCCTGGGCAGCCTGTTCCAATACCTGATTATCCTCTCAGTGAAGAAGTTTTCCCTAATAGCAAATCTGAAACTCCCCTGGTGCAGCTTGAGGCTGTTAACTCTTGTCCTATTGTGATAAACACATGAATGCATTGGCTTTTGCAAATCATAAGTGTTGCTGTGATAAACACATAAACGTATTGGCTTTTGCCAATCATAGGTGTTGCTATGTGTATATAACTGTATGAGTTTGCAAAGCTCTCTAAAGACACAAGATTAGACAACAAGTTGAAAATGGCCAGAACTCTTGAGCAAAATGGAGTCACAGCAGAAGAATTTGTAAAGGTAAAAGAAAAGGGGGGGAGAGCTTGATATGAGGAAAGCTAGTGCCTGGAAAATATAGGGTTAAAGTACTTTTAGTTTAACTTCGGTTGAAGATAAAGAACAATGTTTGTGTTACAAGTCTGTGGTGAGATAACAGAATTTAGTGGCCCCACTAAACATGAGTGAATTACTTCACCCCATCCTTCTATTTATCAGTTAATTTAGAGACAGTGCCTCCCAAACATCTGCTAGCTTTGGATACTTCTTGTCTGCCCCTCCTGTTTTGCTTGCAATAAATTTTACACTAAGGTCACACTGTTCAAAATATTTGCCAGCTATCAGAAAAGTTACAGATATGGCTGGTTTCAGCTAGTTTTGTGATTACTGGGGCATCCAACTGTGCCAAAGGTGAAAAGTACACCATGAGGAAGACTGCTTAATTCATCTTGAAGATGCCTGCTTGCATGAGGAAGACTGCTTACTTTATCCTCAAGACCCCTGCCCACAGTCACCGCAGAGCAGTGCACAGATGCCAAGAGGAGACTTATGATAATAAGTGATAGCGGAATAGACTCCACAACTTCGTTAAAGTTGTAAAGTAGGTATGCTTTATTCAGCTGAAGACGCACAGGGGATAGGTCCTCCAAAAAGCATGCGTCCCTTAGTGCCGTTTTTCTTCTACATTTATCCTGTAAAGTCATACATATTCATATTCTATCTCCGCTTCGTATTATAATGAGCTAAAAGGCTCTCCACGCATGCGCAGTGCCTCCTGGTGGTCTTGGGCAGGGGTCTTCAGATGAAGTAAGTAGTCTTCCTCTTGTGGGTATGGGTCTTCAAGAAGAAGTAAACGAGTCTTCCTCAGGCTTGAACTTTTTACCTCTGGTCCTCACGCATGCTCTTTAGGAGCTGGATGGGTCTGGTCTATGTCTAGCTGGTTTAATGAGCTATTCCCTTCGTTAGGATAAGGCACCTGCTGAGTTTGTCAAGCCAGCTATGACTTAAGCAGTACTCCTTGTACAACCCCCCCATTCTCCTCATTAGGAGGTTCTGCTCTGGTACTGCCCGATAAGACATCTGCTGAGCTCGTTAAACCAGCTATGACTTAAGCAGTACCCCCCTGTACGTTTTGTCTAACCCCCTTGTACAACCCCCCTGTACACAATAGGCCACAGCAGTTTCAATTCCCCCCTTTTCTATAACATAAGTAAATTCTTTTACTTAAGAGATACCCAGGTGCCTTCAATGGATTTGTGAAACATATTCGATACACATTGGATTAAGCATGGAATTGTCATTAAGACTAAAAGAACTACAGCCAGAATCCAAATCCCTTGTTTGATTACCTCCTTAGTCCACCCTGTAATCCCAAATCCATTCAACCAATCATCCAACCCTCCATCAACTTGCAATTTCTTCATGTTTTCCTGTAGCTCTTGTAATTTGGCATAGATAGATTTTGAATGGTCTGTTAAGTTCATACAACACATACCTTCAAAATCTTCGCATCCATGACCATGGGCTAGTAAGAGAAAGTCTATAGCTGCCCTATTTTGTAAGGAGGCGTGTCGTACACTACATCTGTAGCAAGTGAATAGATTATATTTGAGGTAATATTTAGCTGTTGTGCTGTCCAACATGCGAGGCGGTGAATATCTGCCAATGCTTTTCCAGCTGCTACGTTTGGTGAAAGCAGTGCAGCAAAGAATCGCTTTGTATGGCCCCAAATCTTCAATGTGGGGTCACACTTAGGGCCTAATTGGTGAACAGATCTTTTATTTCTACGAAGGTCTTCTCATAGGGCTTGGATTATATGTTTTTTGGAAGCTGCAAACAAGGACAATTTTCCTAAATAGCATGGTCCCCCATGCGGCTTAGAGGTTATTCCTGGCCATGCACGGTCTCCGCATATCAAGAAGTAACCTGGGGGTAGTGCCTTAGGGGTGATAACATCATATGGGAGTGAAGGAGAAGACCCAAGACAATATGAGGTAACATTATGATACTAATCTTTCCTACTAGTCACTTTAGTTTCTGGAGTTTCATCTGACCAAGAATTGAATGTTATACAGCTCTGATTACTTTGGTCAGACCCCAGAAGTCGGAGTTCCTGAATTGGGATGGTTGAACGATTTAGTCCTTTTATAATTCCTCCTGTTTGAGCAGATGCAATTGTCCAATCGCCTGAGGTTCTCTTAACTGCTTTAGTTACTATTGTAAGGTTCAAGACTGAATCATTCTTCACCCATCCATAGAAATCATCTGGATTTAAATAAGGAACTCCAATTAAACACGTTTGGAATGGGTTTCCTACTTGTGTGAGTGATAAACAAAAATCAGTAACACCAGTTCTATTTGCCCAAGTAAGCCAAACATTTGTCTCTGTTCCTAATAGTGGTAGCATTTTGTCAAGACTTTGTGTGACCCCTAGAATCACAGTTAATCCTGTAATTATTTTCATCATTCTTCAACCTTTCGCTGGTTATAATTGCAAACAAGAGAAAAGTATTAAAGCTTTAAACAAGAAGGTTAAAAATATCATCAACACAGTCTTATCAATTTGCAGTGTTACTTGTTACGAATTAGCTTTAGTTTCAGTTCATTTTCAGTTTGGATCGCTCTCCAGGGTGTCTTCGGGGCTTTCTTAACTCGAGTATGATGAATCCAGGTGTTCTGTTCCTTAATCTTGATAGCTGTGAATGTAGTTAACAACACCTGGAATGTCCCTTTCCATCTTGGCTTGAGATCATCATCTCCTGTAGGTTTGAAAGACTTTACATACACATAATCTCCAGGCTGTATATTGTGTACCGAGCTGTCCAACCCTCTGCTTCGAGTTCCAGCCACATGTTTTTCAATTCTAGTAAGCTGCTTTCCTAACTCTATTATATAGGTGTTCATGGTTTCTTCTCCCACTTGGGGAGACATTCCCTGTTGAACCCCATATGGCCTTCCATATAAAATTTCAAAAGGACTCAGTCCTTCCCGTGCTCTTGGTTTAGTTCGAATTCTCAACAAGGCCAATGGAAGGGCCTGGGGCCAAGGTAGCCTGGCCTCCTGGCCCAATTTCACAATTTGTTGTTTGATTAAATGATTCATCTTTTCTACTTGTCCACTTGATTGTGGATGATAAGGGATATGAAGTTGCCAATCAATTCCAAGATATTTGCTTACTTGCTGTACCACATTTGAAATAAAATGTGGCCCTCTGTCTGAAGATATTATGGCTGGAACTCCAAAGTGTGGTATTATCTCCTGTAACAGTATTTTGGTCACTTCTCGTGCCTTTGCACTCCTAGTTGGAAAGGCTTCTGGCCAACCTGAAAAGGTGTCTGTTAATACTAACAAGTATCTATACCCCCCTTTTCTCGGCAGTTCCGTGAAATCGATCTGCCATTGCTGTCCTGGTCCATTACCCTTTCCAATTTGACCCATTTTGAGCTTGGGTATAATTTTGGGATTTGTCTTAAGGCAAAGATCACACTGGCGAGTTACCTGTTGAATGGTGGCATATAATTTTCTAGCCATAATCTTGCCTATTAAATGTTTATGTAAGGTTTCGGCTCCCCAGTGTGTTTTCTGATGTTCATTCTTTACTAAAGACCATAACATTGATAAGGGAACAATTACCTTTCCTTGTGGTGTGCTGGCCCACCCTTCTTCATTGAATATTCCGTTTTGATCTGCAATCAATTTTTGATCTTCCTTATTATAATTTGGCTTACCTTCTAAGGAAACTTTCCCATCAGGGATCAATGCTCCTTCAGTTGGTACCTCACCTTTTGCTGCTTCTTTTGCCTCTCTGTCCGCCAGCTCATTTCCTTCTTCCAATTCAGAGCTCACCTTCTGGTGTGCCTTGATGTGCATAATTGCCACCTTCTCAGGCAATTGGACTGCTTTTAATAGTCTCAGTACTTCCTGTGCATGTTTGATGTTTTTCCCTTGTGAATTTAACAGTCCTCTCTCCTTCCAAATAGCACCATGCGCATGTACGACTCCAAATGCATATTTTGAGTCTGTGTAAATGTTTACAGTTTTTCCTTCTGCCAATTCCAGGGCTCTAGTCAGAGCAATCAATTCTGCTTTCTGTGCAGAAGTTTATAGGCAAAGGTCCAGATTCTATTACCTCTCTGCAGGCGGTAACTGCATATCCAGCATATTGTTTTCCGCTGATGACATAGCTGCTCC